ACTCTTCTCGCAAAGCTGCAGAACGTTTATCGTCCTCAAGATTACAAGTTTTTGCGCGAAATCCCACAAACCACTTTCTTACTTATCACATTCGCTTCCCAAGCCACCTCTTAATCATTTTCTTAGTTAGAGCTAAATTTTTTTTTTCTAACATGCAATGACAGAAATGTTGCATGTTGTTAACATCGAAGTCCCTTTCCACCATGATAAACACTGAAGGACAGTTTGTAAAGAAATGAAACTTATACGATACAAACACCAATGTCTAAGCTATGTACATCCAAAATTTTGCGAAAAAAAAAAAATTAATGCGTCATGCGTATGTTCTATAAAGGAAGAAATTTCAGTACGCAAAATTTATTCGACACAATTGCTTAGCTCATAGACATGTACGCCGGCCTTTATGTTCATAAGCTATTGGAAGATTTACAGCAAATGGATGAAGGTATGTGAGTCAATAGTTTTCTTGGACCAATGTCTTCCATTTTATGCTTAGGCCATAGGTATCCAAGATTCGATTCGAGCGGAAGGTATGTATGCATATAGTTTTGCTGTTGTCGTTTTTCCCTTTTAATAACGAGGGCATGTGTACCTTTACCCCACTTTTCTATGCACATAATTGCGGTTGTGTAACATCGTACGTAAAGTAATATGAATTTTGAAATATCAATAACATGCTTATTTGTATGCATGTTTGTGTATATGTGTTTTTTTCGTTTTTTTTTTTTTTTTTTTTTTTTTTTTTTTTATATCAAAATCTCATCATATTTTGAACCCATTAACACAAAATTTGTACGCAGAGAAAGAGAGAGAGAGAGAGAGAGCGAGAATCGAAGAGTAATTTAGATAAACTTTTAATTTCTAATTTCATTAATGCTTTAATTCATATCAGAAAGTTAGAAAAAAAAAAAAAAAAAAAATTTTTATTACTTTAAACTTCAATACGAGGATAGAGTTTCTTTTTGTTTCATTTAATAAATTTTCTTACTTTTAATACTGTTGATTTCTGCAGTTGTTGTTGTTGTTGTTGTTGTTGTTCCGGTTGTGTTATACTAAACTTGTTCTTTTGCATTCGCTTTTGTATGCAATCTTGTACTGTGTACACATTGCTTTCAAATGTACATACATACATTCATCATAGAGATTTTACAAGGTAGAATTGTATATACGGTAAGGTGTGCTGCTGCTATTGCTAACTTGATTACAAATAACAACACAGTGGAATGCAATCAAGTGCGTGTTTACCACTCATATATATTCCATTAAAATGGCATATGATTTATAATCAAATATTGTGCAATTAATTAAAAAAAAAAAAAAGAACGGAAAGAACAACAACAAAAAATCTCTTCTTTAAATAAAAACTTTATTGCAAGAATTCAAAGTTTTATGCGGTTTTGAATTTTTCATTAAGTGCTTGTGTTTATTGACTTTTCTTGGTTTCTAAACATTAAAAGAATTTCAAATGGATTGTTTTTATATATAATATGTATAAATTATTTTCTCTGTTTTATTTTCTATTTCTTTTTTTTTATTTTATTTTATTTTTTTTTTTTTTGAAGAATTTACGTAAATTATTTTCACTGTTTATCTGTCCTAGAATATTTTTTACATTTTAGGAAAAAAAAATATCTTTAATTAAATAACTTTATTTAGATTCAACACGAAAAGCTCGCGTTCCCCTTGAAGCCATTTCACACAACATAGCAAATCTTCTTTTGTTGATTTGTCGGCTTGTAGGACCAAAAGAAGAATAAGAATAAGAATATCTTTGACTTGAGATAACTACCGAGGCGTACGCAGTTTGCGTAAGTTAAACGAAATTGGTGGAAACAATTTTTGCATTAAACTCGGGCTGACTCGCTGCTCTCGCGAAGTGAAGGACTTTACTAAAAAATGCTTCGAATGCGTGGGGAATAAATTCCAGTACAAAACCCGGTTGATATTCAGAAATTACGTACTCAGGAAACCTTTAATCTTGTTGACGTCACTAAACCATAAAGTTTAAACTGATCACTGAATACCTTACAACGGCATAGCCTAATTAATAAAAAGCGAAAATATTAAGACCGTGTAACTGGTTTCAACTGTCAGGATGAGAGACCACGCTTTAACTACGACTGGAGTATGGCAGTAACTACAGTGAATGCTTCAATCGGTAACGGCACAAAGCTTTCTAATCGAGCATACACTTTTTCCTGCTGTGGCCAGTATATCTTTCTCTCTCTCTCTCTCTCTCTCTCTCTCTCTCTCTTTGTTGCCACTTCTTTTCCTAGGAAATGGGTTGATAGAAACAGCTTTTGCTTTAAAAGAAAGTAAACTTTAGAAAATTCAATAGCATAGATCTATGAATATCTACTCCAAAAATATACTAAAGGAGGTTAAAATTTTTAAAAGCAAGAAGAGACCATTTCAAAAATGCTGCTGGTTCTGACGATGAGAAACTAGTGGAATGGTGTTTATCGATTTTCTTGAGCCTTCCCGGTTCCTTTTCTCAGTGAAATAATGCCACTTGTCTCATAATTCGTGAAACCGTAGACATTATGCATATGCCCCAGAGGCCGTTGTAGTAGTCAGACGAACGCACGCAGTTTACCTGTCACTCTTACAGAGCTGACCGAAATAAGTTAATACTAAGTTTCATACTCTTATCGAACTGATTTCCATTTTCTTGATCAAGAGAGTTCGTGTATTCTATAATCTTTTCTTTTTTTAAAACGCGCGGTGGGGAGAGCGTGCAAAGGAAAAATATGTTTGGTTGTATAACGCTTATTACGCTTTTCTTCGGGGCTATAAAACGTCCCAATGGACTAATCGAGTTTAAATGTGATACAATTGCGCTGTAGTGAGTATGCACTGGTTTAGAGACAAATGTAAAAATCATTGCATCAAAATCATCCATTATTTACCCTAGACTTTGTATGACCTAGAGATTGAGACTCTACACAAAGCGAAATGAATAGAAAAATTATAGACACGGACATTGCCCACACACTGTTGAACATAACAACTTACAAGCGCCTGTAAACATGATCATGTGTTGAGATGAGAAATGCTTGCATTATAGTTAATTAAGAATTTGTGATTATTGTATGCCGAGAAGTAAATGATTCTAGGACTTTTGACATATGCAGAGAAATAAAACCTTTAAAAACATTTTCTACATACACAATATTCTGTAACTTTTAAAGTACAATTAATATATCGTCTAAACACAGAAAATTAATTATATAATAGAAAGAGAAGTACAAAAATTCTGATATTTTTTAGTTAGTACTTGCTGAGCAAGCTAACAATGGTGTGCAACAAGTTTTAGAAATGCGCTTGAAAGCAAGCACGTAAGCAAATTACATTCGGTCATGACCTAATCTTTTACACCTACCATCGCTACCTTAAAACAGGCCCAAAAAAGGAAAAGGTCTAAACTCTCACAATATTGGTTGGGGGTGGATGATTTTTTCAATCTTTTAGAATAAAAATTTCAATCTTTACGAGTAAGGAGCAAAAAAAAGAAACAGAAGGAAGCTTCAGACACACCACAAAGCATTAGGTATTAACATTTGCGTCATTTTGATCACTTCTCACTTGAAAATGGCATTTATTCAGCAAAACCGGTACATTAATCAAAAGGTTTTCCATCACTTTCTACAAATTTTTCGTATCTCTCTGGCAATATAGTGATACGTAGTCAAAAGAATGATATTGGTTTGGCAGCGATTCAGTCATGGACCCATTTTCCCACCTCCTAAGCATTTCGAAACTGCGTTCCAGTCAAGCTATGCTGCATCGATCTGAACAAATGGTAATCTAAAGGCGCTATGCGGGTGAGTACGCTAGATGCGGCAGAACTTGCGACACCCATTCCAACTACAACAACGCATCTTTAAAAACCTTATGTGGCCAAGCCGTGTTATGCAAGAGGACGACTACGCGTCGGTTATCTGCTATTACTGTTTTTTTTTTTTTTTTCCAACAACATCGACAGACATCTGCAGCAAGAGTTTTATTCACTTTCAATAGCTCATAAGCCTGATGATCCCACTACATCCAGAGCAAAAGCTTAGGGCAACGAATATTCCGTTTCAGTGGTTATGTGAATCGCTCTCCTGGGCTAACGCACGACTTCTCGCGCTAGAGAAAACTCTTCTATTTTTGCCTTTTATTTTTAACCCGCGTTTTTTCAGTCAATTCGTGTGGTAGCCATTCTCCCTCTTTCCCATTTTCCTTTCCATCGCATGTAAACGTCTCGCAACAGTTGATTCATCGATTGCTAAGCTTTTCGAATATTCTTTGACAGTGTGAAATGGATGTTTGTCCAATAAGTCTTGCAACTTATTGCCTTCGAACTTTTTTGGTCCTCCAGGCCGTTCTTTGTTGGAATCAAAACCGACAATTGGGATTTTATATGGCAGCGTTACCATAAGCTTCGAAAAGTATTTGATGGGTTTCGGCCGCAGATTTCTTCAAATCAAACAACAAAAGTAATGAATGTTGAAAATGCAATTTTGAGCGTTCCATGATTATCGCCCGCACGCGCTGAATAACCCGAAAATATTGAATGGGACACTGTTACTTTATCGTAGAGAAAATCGAAATAATTGAATTTAACCCTTTTGTGCATTGATAGCTTGATAGCTTACTATCCAGGGCCTGGGCAGTAGAATACGACAAACAAAATTAAATATGTTAATTTTTCAATAAATATAGCGGACACCACGACATGTTGGATTAATTTTTTTATCGCATTAGGTTTTAGTGGCCTCAAAGGTGGAAGATAAATTCTATCCCATTCACTTTTCTATGGCTATAAATAAAGGCATGGGATGCTCAAGCTAAGAATGGTGGAGCATATCTCTATCAGACAATTTTTCCTTTTTTTATATATAAAACTAAATATATATATATGTACATATATAAATGAAATAAAAGATAAATAAAAATATATAAACATAAATATATATATGTAAATATGCAAATATATTTTCTTTGTTGTGTTGCAGAGAGGTAATACGGCAAGCACCAGAGCAAGCAGTGATAGCTGCGATGAAGAACCGACTTTAATAGAAGACTCCGACGATGATGAAGCGGACGATAAAAGCGAAAATGGAATAAGAAGTAAGTAACGGTTAAGTTTTAATTATCGTAGCAACTAGCTTGACTTCTTATTTTGTTCTAGTAGTAAGTATTTTCCGCCCGTCAGGGTTACGACCCCTTTTTTTTTTGTAATCTCCTGCGTTTCTTCTCAATGTTCTGAGTTGCTGGACAAGCTTATGTCAAAAAAAAAAAAAAAAAAAAAGAATTAAAGTAAGCCCCCAGTGGTTTTTCTCGCTAGACATGAATAGCGAACAGTTCATCCTCGTAAAAATTTACGCGTCTCAAGAAGAAAATGAATTATTAAACTATCAACAATTGTTTACTTTGTTGTGAAAAATTCTACAACCAAAACTTGATCTTAATCTTTAAATATAAAATCAAATTTCTTAAACAAATTTAAGAACGAATGGTCATAACATACGTCAATAATATTTATGAATATGTATTTATGAAAAGAATGAAATGAATTTATGCATTTTAATCCCTTTAAAGTTTAAATTTTTTAGTTTTTAGTTAACTGATATTATTCATTGTAAAGTTTGACATATATGCCAAAGTAAAGGCAATTAACTGCAGTGATTGCATTTAAATTAAGGAAAACATTTTGAAGATTATATGGGATTTGTGCATAACAAAACTCTCGTTTTTTAATACCAGAGTCTACTCTTAGGTTATTGTAGAGGCTGCAATATGTTTAACACGTTATTTGCTGTGAAGAACTTACAGTCGCAGCATCGTTGCACTTGTAATATTAGATATCAAAACAAAAATTCCTTCTATTGATAATGAAGATTTTTTAAGGTTATGTTGTACGAAATTTGATCGTTAAGATTGACATGCATATAACAAAAACTTTACTTTGCTTTAAATTACGTCGTTTGTGGAAATAAAAAATTTAAAAAAAAAAAAAACCGGCAAAGATAAGTAAGCAAAGAATAAAACATTGCGTTGAATAAATATAATTTATTAAAATCTTTTTGTTTTTTGCATTCGCGATCTCGTTTGTTTTATTCAAAGTTGAAATAGAAAAAGGAATAGTTTTTTACGCTATGAAATACTTTTGTGTTAGAAAAGAAGTTATGTTCGGCTTGAAAGGCATCTTACGATACTCACGAATTTTTTTGCCAATCGCTTACTTTGGACATTATTGGGGCCATTGACGTTCGACGGGCCTAACATATACGCGTAAGAAACATTAAAGCGTTGTCCGCTTTCCCGACACAGATCGAGGATAACAAAGTATAGATTGAGATTTTTAAATTTTTCGAGCATTTATTTAGCATAGCTTTTCAGTGTCATTGTAGGCAGACACATTTGGCAAAGGACATCAGAGACTATTCCAAAAGTAAGATGGGTTTAATTTTTTCTCTTCTAAATCTATTTTTTATTTTCCAAATCTATTTCATGGCCTTCAACTGCGTTTAATAGAATCATTCCCAGCAACAGCGAGCAGTGGTTAAGCATAATTAGAGCTTATAAAGCTATCTGGCAAAGGCTTTTATTTTTTTTCCACATTGAGTTTCTTTATTCGAAAATTCCAGAAATTAAGTAAATCTATGCCTCTACGGTATCTATCCTTTGTTAAGCCTATAAGATCCGTAGAGAGTACGAAAATTGCTTTATTTCCATCGCCATGTTCTAATAGCGATTATGAAAATGAATTTAATTTCTGGAGTTGATTCTGCATTTCCCTGTGTATATGTATGTATATTTGTGTGCTTATGTACGTTTAGACTTAAAAAGGTTCGTATATTTTACATAATTGTTTTACATCTTCTTTTGTCTGAGGTCAAATACTGCTTTCAGCCTCTTTGACGCCATTTGTATTGTTTTTTTTTTTATCTCACTCTCTCTCTCTCTCTCTTTCTATCCCGCTGTCTCTCTCTTTAATCCTTTTTGCTTCTGCCAAGATTCTTGTAGTTACTTTCAAGTGAATGCGTGCTACATACTATAAGTAAGTGTGCGTGTTACGTTAATGTGAATGTATATATATATATGTGTGTGTGTGTGTGTGTATGTATGTATGTATATATGTATGTCTTTATTATGCATTGTTTTATTTTATTCGGTTTTGTTTTAAATGCTTTCTATTCGCACACAATTAGTTTTCTTTAGCACAAATCATGAGCAAAGAACAAAAAAAATTAAGTATTGTTTTCTGAAGAAGTGTGGAAAACAATGATAAGAACATTGTTACATTTGGATTATTGGCACTTAAGGTCTTTTCATTGCATAACACTTTTTATTTCTTTTCTTTTTTTGTTGTTGTTGTTGTTATTGTTGTGCTTCTTCTTATTATTGTTTCTATTTTATTTTTGTTTTTACTTTATTTGTTGTTATTGTTGTTGCTGCTGTTGTTATTCTTATTTTTTTTGCCGTCTCTCGCACTTTGCGCACAAAAGTAAAGGATTAGTTGATGTTCTTGTTGGTTTTTATTTATCGTTTTAATTATAATTGACAAGCATTTGTAAAATGTATAAAAGAGTCAACAACGATGTATTTTATGTTGAATTGACAGGTGGCTTTGTTTATTGGTAACGCAGATAAAACAAAACATTTCAATACAATTGTTTGCTTAAAATGTTTAATGCTTTTCTTCTCGATAATATGCGACAGCCTCGAATAAATCTTGGTTTCTTAACCTATCATTTACAAGACCTTGAGCTCTTTGCTATAAGTTTCTCCTTTTTGTTTGTTTTGTTTTTCAGTTTAATGATAAAAGTGGGAAGAACGAATACTCGCTGGCCTGCACGGATAGATTTTAAGCGAAATAACTTTTTTAAATGAAGTCATATCTTTTTGGCCATCCATCTACACGTGTTTCGTAAAAGTAAAATAATAGTAAAATAAAGTTTGGCAATCTCCTTGTAGATTTATATGGGAAAGCAGTGATGTGGGGCGCAGAGAGTTTGCATATTTTTGACATCATTCAGGAAATTATTCAAGAGCAGAGACGTGTTTATATATTAAAATTCTATACATTTTTTATATTTTGCGCGATTTTTATATATCAGTGCGAAAAAAAGATATATTAGTTCTTATGATTGCATTCATACCATCTCCGAATTCTTATAGGCAGCGAAACGCCACGTGATTGTTACTAACGACCATGGTTTAAATTTGGATTTAATTATTTTTGATTTGGCCATAGCTTGGTAAACATAATCCAGGTTCATCTTATGGAATAGACGATTTTAGAATCCCTTAAGTAAGTAAGAAATACCTTAACCGGTTCTCGGGTTCGCTTTTCGTCCCGGCAAAGGCATTTACTTGAAAGCTCCTAAATCAAAACGATGAACTATCTCAATGCAATTATTCACCGATTTTTTAAACTGATAGGAATATGCCACTAGCATGTGACGTCAGGCTGTAGTAAGAAAGTGCTGTGTGACATGTACGCGGCAATATGTAGCAAAGGCATTAACTAAATTTTTTCTCACTGAGGCGTTTGCGCACACATTTGTCGTTTAACTCACACATTAGCTTTGATGAATTTTTTTTTGTTAGTGCAGAGAGAATCAATTTAGACTTTTATCTTTTCGATTTATTTCGCCTTTTTGAAACTTCCTTAGGAGCTTTGCTAAACGTATTTATTGGCCTAACGATCACACAAGACGGCATTTAAACCCTTATATTTTCTTCCCTTAAGATTTGCTAACGAAGACACCTACGAATATATTAAAAATTTGTTTAACTGAAATCCATTCTATATTACGCTATAAAACTAACTTTTTCAGGGAGCCTTTTACTCTTATCACATTAATTGCACATTAATATGGTTAGGACGACCATATGAATTGAAAAGATTGCAAGGATTAAAACTGTCATCTGGGAGTACTTTACAGTATCCTAAATGAGTGTGTTTATTAGCGGTACAAATGTGAAATCTGGATTTGATCCACTTGTACCTATTACATGTAACAGCAAACATTTCGCAGACTGTGACTTTTGCTTTTGAATGATTATCTTTACCTTTTACAAAATAGCATAAGTTGTTTTGCTGAAGCTGTACAGCTTTTACAGGTCGATAAAAAGTTCAACTTGGAGAAAATTTGCTTTTCCTTCTTAATTCAAAAAATACAGTCACTGAGTCGTGACGGACAACAACAACAACAACAATCAATCAATGTGTTACCGTATCCCTGGAGTAATGGGTTTTAAGCCTTAATATTTCAATTTCTACGTCTCATCGTGTTCTGCCTAAATCATAAGTAGCAATGTTGATTTACCCAAGTACATTTACCTGTCCGTACATATTGAGATAGCATTAGAACATACTCAAAAAACTAATTTGATGTCACACTTCTTCCTCTCTTCCTCAATTGCGGAGAAGTCATTTAGAATATCAGGAGTGGTCTGCTTCCAGATGAAAGGGCACAGGTTTGATTATGGGAGCGGACAAGTGATAGTGCTACTTACCTGTCTTTTGTAAAAGCATTTTGAAAAAGCATTTCAGCGAGTATTCGGGTCGATGTGGTTTCCCTAAACGGAGGAGCAATAAATAAATATCGGTGCAGCTAGATCTCGCCTTTTCCAGAGGGGCAAGTCCCAAGCGCTTATAAATCAATGAAGCTTCGCCTGATTAAGGCCACGACGGCAGTACGCAGACCTTAACTTTCGAAGTCATTTCTTCTTGCTTTTGCTTCAAAATCGAACAAAAATGCTTAAAAAACGAACAGAAAATCTCGCACTTGGCATTACTGCCGCAAATTATTCCATTTGGTCTATAGCATAAGATTGTATATACAAGCATTGCCATCTTCAAGGCAGGTATAACAACATCTCCTCTCTACGGTATGGTGCACAAAACAAAAAAAAAAAAAAAAAAAAAATGAAGAAAGGAAATAAGTTGCGACAGATAACTGCAAATGATTGTGTAAAACCTGATTAAAAAACTATTTGTCAAGAATAACACGTAAACACACCACTTTATGGAAAGGAATGGATGATTTGGCAACAGAAACGGAAATAAAATGATTCTGATTACCTGGGGTTTTTCTTAGGAAGAAATTAGAAACGTA